ATTATATGTTTTTATTAAAAAAAATATTGTCAACGTGTATTTATTTTTTAATTTATTCGTCAAATCGTGGTTAATCCAATCTGGGAATTTGACTTTTTAAGTACCTAATAAATAATAAACACTTTAGGAAATTCAAATTTTTAGGAAGGTGAAATTAGATTGATTATAGATACCTACTTATATTGATATTAATGAAAAAAATTAAATTACTTTTTTATTTATTTATATATCACGGAAATTAAAAATGTAATCTGTAATATTATAATATCCATAAATTTCCTTGAACTTGTTGGTAGTAAAATGTATGATATTTTTCAGCATGAAGTAAATATTTAAAATTATAAAGGATAAACAATATATTTTACAATTTCTCACGTTAAACCCAATGGCCCATGTTGCCGAGGGTATTCATTAATAAAAAAAAAAAATAAATAAATAAATATATTTTACACTATCTGCTAAAATGAAAAATGTATACAATTATATGTGTATATAATAATTTTATGTTTTTTAAAAGGTAGTCTATTTTTAGATAGATACAAGATTAAAATATACCTGCACTGACGGCTCTTATTAGTCTCATTACATTGTGTTTGTCTTCTCCTTTTGGAGTATTAAGAATGCTCTAAATTATAATTTTCTACTTTGGAAGAAAGGGGAAGTTATAAATTAAAAATTCTCAGTATTTTTCAATCCATTTAAATATTTGAGAAAAATAAGAAATGTTTGAGCTACATTTTTCGAAAAAATCGGTTTTATAGTTTTGTTGTTAAATATATTATATTTAGTAGTTATAGTTATATAGTAGATACTTACACCTCTATACCACCAAGTATTTAGGTATTTATATTAATATTAGCATTTTCTAGACATTGTGTATTATAATTTTTAAAATAAAGATATTATACTTTATGCTCGCGGTTTTGATGTATGTTGGTGAATACTTAATTTAACTTGTAGACTTAACTTAATATTAATATCATACATCTACAAWAATTAAATTCAAGATAATATCATCACAAAAATAATAGAAAAGGAAATTACTAATAGTATTAGTAACATAAATTAATTACATAAGGAATCCTTAGAAATAGAGACTGACACRCGTCACACGATTTCCGCTCAGAATCGTTATTTGTATGAAGTGATTTATTATTCARTATAATTTAACTCATTTATTACAGTGATCTAGTCAATTACGAAATACACCTAAAACCTACAATAACAGAGCGATTTCGATAGTTATTTTTATAAATTGATTACATAAAATAGACGATAAATTATAACACCTATGTCCTATATAGGTAGCTAATACGAAATTGTTTCATTTTAATGCATTTAATATTAATAAAATAAATACTAATTCGTTTTAAATAATTTTATAAAAAAAATAAAAATAAATTACTAATGGACAATGGTTTATCTTAGTATAGGTAATTTATTAATTTATTTCTCAATATTATGTGACCAATTTTATTATTTTTAATGTGGAAATTTGAAATACATTTAAT